ATTTTGAGTAACAAAGACACTTGTAAGGTTGTGATCACCAAAGACATCGAGAAAATTCTTCAAAATTTTCGAGAGAATAAGCAAATCCAGCGCGACTTTAATAAAGTAGCGAAAAATGATTTGTTATGTCGTCAGAATGGCCGATATGATCATTATTTCGAAATTTAGAGTCAAGAAGGTTGATGTCATCCGTGAATATATGAATCCAAAAATTGTCATTTTCGTTTGTAGTCAGGCCTTACCGAAAACTTTGCCTTTTCAGTTGCTCTTATTATTCTTCTTCATCCAATAATTGACGGTTGCTAAAATCTCTTATTCATTGTTCATTCTGCTCCTGCTCTCCCTTTCCATTCATCACATTGCCTACCACGTACCGTGAATAACGACAGACCATGAATTTGACTTTCTGAAGTATATTAGCGCTTTCAGGGTTAGCCCATTCATGGTAATGGCTTTGCATTAATGTTACCAAGTAGATGATTCTCAAAAAGTGGCAATTTCGCAGCCCTATTATTATACCACATAAAATGAAAGATTTATGGAGAAGTGATCCTGCCGTGGAATTACGTCGATTGAGGGATCTTTGTGGATTCCGCAAAGGATTTATTGTTATTAGTGTTTTTGTAGAGCAGTCATCCTGCATAAAGGGAAATCATTTGATAGAAATGCTGGGCGTCAATCCTATTCTGTTTTTTGGGGATTCTCGCGCGGAACATAATTATACATAGTGTTGCAACGCGAGTAAGTGTGGAAAAAGAAATGATTTTTTAAGTCTTAAAAAAGGGGTCCTCAACCTACGGATGATACTATATGCCTTCATAACCCTTTTTGCCACAGAATTCACATATTTTTCCACATTTTCCGTTTTTCTGTTCTATCCTGCATGGCTAGGGCATGCTAGTAAGTGCGAGAATATCTCAGACTTTGGATACACGATTACGAAGGTCGTACACGCTTTGTTTGAAGTGATGGCGAGTTTATGATAGGTATACAATACTGCTCGTATTTTTTAAAAACCACGCACAGTCGCCCGATTAATGTGACATCACCGTAGCGTGGCCATTGCTCGCTTCAGAGTGGACGAATTCAACCTACCGTAAGCAAAAATTTGAGACTTAATCCAAGGACAACATTCGACTTAGCTTGGCCCTGCGCAACTTCTGATATTAGAAGCCCCCGCTTGGACACAGCAGGAGGCCAGATCCCACGAACCGTTTCAATTTGCTTACGGTAGGTTGCTCAGTTGCTTATTCATTGCACTTACTGGGCAACCTACCGTAAGCTCTGAGATGATTCGTGGAATCTGGCTTCTCCTGGATCCAAACAGGCACTTCTATACATCAGAAGATGCGCTGCGCCAAGCTGAGTCGAGTGATCCCTTTGGATCAAGAATTCGTCCACTCTGAAGCGAGATATGGTCAGCTACGACCATATCCCGCTTCAGAGTGGACGAATTCTTGATATTTACCATATTTCACATGAATCGGGCGACTGTGCGTTTTTTTTCACAAATTACGAGTAGTCTTGTACGTACGTGAAAATGCAAAATTGTTCATTCTTCGTGACAACTTTTTTATAGGCTTTTGGTGACCTGATTACATTGATCTAGCGCATTTCTTAATTGTCCAGAAATCTTTCTCATTTAGGAATTTTCTGTTTTTCAAGCTCAACTTCTGCCCCTCCCCTCCGCCAATGTCATCTCAATACCATCCATTCCTCTCCGAGGCTCTCGCGACCCCGGCTTGACCATAGTTGCAAGATCTTGCCCGACGCTGCCTGGAAAGTTGTAGCAAATCTGCAGTGGAAAGAAAAACTGAACAAAGAAGTCTAGTTCTATGTTACCCCAGGATTTACGGCTATTGCGAAGGGCATCACCATAAAAGTGTAAGAAAGAAATTATGTTTCTTCTTTAGTTCTTTTTCTTGCTATCTTCGTAGCTTTACTGTTCTCCCGCAGTGGCAAAAAAACTTATTGCCATGCACTTTTTCTAAATAAGATCTCTTCTTAGCTGTATAAAGACCTTGGCATTGTTGATTTATAACCTCATCCCTCCCATCCCCTTTAATCAGCCTCTACCCAAAGCACATGTAAGGGCTACAGGAACAAAGCCCCTCCCCAATTGGTGTTCACATCTCTGATAATTCATTCATTCGTTCGTCGTTGCTTCCATTGACAGTTCCAGAGCTTTCGTCCAAATACGCTGCTACATCGTTTATCATTCTGTAAATGGTTATGTTCAAGGAAACTCATCTCAGTTGTCGACAACTTCGTTTAGATTGGTCTATCTAGGTTTCAATTAACTTATTGTGGTAAAAATGCTTCGTTCGGTTATAATCACTTTATCTTAACATGCTCCTCCAAATTACTGCCCTTTATGTCAGCAACATAAATTATGAAAAATTCGCTCTGAATAGTCTAGAGGAAACGATTTGATATGCACTAAATACGTGTCAAAATATTTGGTAAGTGATTTTGTATTTCATATTAGTAATGCTGCATTTTTGGAAATCCAATCGAATCAGTGCGATGAGCACGACATTTTTCCAGCTAGAAAGAGTAAGTCACAGTATCAAAATTGAAAGTATGATTGAAATTTATTGAATATTTTAGCATATATAGCCACCAAAATTAGAAAACTACGATTTGTGGTCCTATTTATCGCTTGTACAGTCGCGATTCGCAAACAATAAATGCTCTTTCGAGCGTAGCGCGGAAGCTCAACTTTATGGATTTCCATAAAGTTTGTTGTAGGACTTCTGGGACACCTAATAAATACAGCTAACCGGTCCCCGAAATTATTCTTGAAAATTCTCCTTATAGATTCTGCTATGTATGTGCACTACCATCATTCAATCGTACAAGGTTGTAAATTTTATGAGCAGATTCTGTAGGTTTACACAGCGCTGCGGCGGCATGAATATAATGTCTGTAAACGAAAAAAGCTTTTAAGCAAATTTGTTCGTTGTTCATCGCAATGAGACCTCTGATGTGACGCAAATATCGTCGCCAATGCGTAGTGCAGCTCTGAATAGCGCCAAATTTAGTGATGTGCAGAAGTGCTTTTGCTCTTGCTAGCTTTCTTTCCATCTTTATGAGGATTTGACAGCGAGGATAATTTTCTTTGCCTTTTATCCCAGAATTAGATCTTCTAAAAGTTCTCCGAAACATACTGATTAACTCGAAGCTGTTGGATGGATAAGAATGTACCATTCGATGGAATTTCTTTTTCTCTCTAGGTGCCGATAAAGTCTAAAGCAGTGCTAGACACTAGCTGATGTATCCAAAACACAACATATCTTATGTGGCTTTTTCTTCTCTTTTCATCAAACAAAGTTCCTTCCGATATCTTGTACACTAGCAGATGCACGCGAAGAGCTAGTCTAGAAGTTTGTCCTAGACAATCCCACTTAATACCTTAAGAATTTTTGAATAACATTTTCGATGTGCTTGAATTTAAAAATGACAAAAGCGAGCTCCAAAATTACATATTTAAAAGTTTTGATTTTGTGCATCTTTGCTCTAAGAAAGATGACACTTTCATAAAAAGTGGCAATTTTTTCAACAACAAAAAACAAGAAAAAATGTCCAAGCGTTTGTTTGTAACTTTCTAATAGCTTTTGGGAGACTAGAATAAAATTCCTACCTTATTTAACATGGAATTAGCAAAATGACTTCGAGAATAATTTATCTGAGAGCTCTTGCAAGTATTTGCTTCATATAACTGAGAGATTATAAAAGATTGTTCAAGTTTTGGCTAAAACTTTTCTGTGAGAATTCTGATTGTTTGAGTGAAAAGCCTCAAGACCACCTGTAATTGTTTACGATTTTTGTTGGCTTTCGGTTGTTTTCTGGGTCTTTCACAAGATTCTATTGAGTGTTTTTGAGTGGCCGGTTCGGCCGATTTCATGCAAACAAAAGCATCACAGCTCATCCACAGCTACAGACAATACCTACTGTTTGGGGTCCCCTCCCCCTCGAGAATTGGTCGAAATTTTTTGAATTCAATTTCCACAAGATATAAAATTGCGCGAGTAGCTCATTCTCACTTGCAAATAACCATAGGATAATATTTTTCGAAAGTGCAAGTTATCCCTATAATTTTGTTCCAAACGTGGCTACAGCCACTCCCCTTTTCTTCTAAAGGGGTTAAGGGTGCGCAAAATATTTATAAGATCCCAAATTGAAGGCATGGCAGACGTCATACATCCATCATCCGAGGACAATGTCCGCCCCCCCCCCCCTCCCCCACCCTGAAAAATATTTTTTCGCCACTGATGGGTACATGTACATCAAAAATCAAAACAAGGCATCACAAAGCCAACGGCTTGAAAATTGCATACGCAAGTCAGATATGATAACTACAGTGCAAGGTTTCTTTGATTTGCAAAATTCCAAGCGTGGCAAACCTGGTGATGACATTGATAACGCAAAAGTTTCATTTTGGCCACTAAGCAATGAGAGAAGCACGCCTTTCACTTCCAATTCCAAAGCCAATAAAATCGCGAACAAGCGTGTGTGTGTGCTGAGCGCGACGACGACGATGTGATTGTGGATGAGCTGTTCGCTTTTATGGTTGCTAGTCGTTAAATGACCCTGCCAGCTAACGATAGAAGCGCTGCGACCTTTTGCCAAACTGCCGTTGTTCTTGCCATACTCGCTTGCCACATCTATGATTCTTTAGAAAAACTCGCTGTTCATCGCCGCTTCTGGGTGCCACTGTCCTTTGACGTTTGACGTCTGACGTTGTTCATTGTGATGTGTGCGTATGTGTCGTAGCTGCGTCAGATGACGAATCACCGATCAATCGATGTGAATTGCAGTCTTTCGACACTGAGAGGCTGCAGAGCTTCCGATGGGTGCAAAGTGCTGCTCGGTGAAGGCGCTGCGCAGCAAAAGGTCAGTCTAGTCCTTGCGAAGCTTTCGCATAAGCTCCGCGCCCGCTTGGTACCTGCGTGAGAAGGAAAAAACGAAAATCGCTGAGTTGGCCCGTTGACGAACTGATGAAGCCGCCCTCAATTAGTAAGCACTGCTCGATCGAACCTCCTAAACACTGTCGCGCTTCAAATCGAATGGCCAACGTCGACGACTTTTCAGTCGATTCTCCCTCACCTTTTCGGCGATTCTCCTTACGAAGGCTTAGTGACAAGTGTCGAGACCGCTGGCGACTTGTTCGTTCAGCTTTGAAGAGGTAACTATGTTTGAATGGCAATCTCGGAGTTATTTTGAGTTTTGTACCCTAAATTCACGAGTAACTATTTTTTTCTAAATTTGACAACTCTGAGCACACATTTGGCAGCTAAAATGTTGCTCCTTACCTAGAACAAGCATTTTGCGAGGCACACTAGTTCGTCCGAGCTTTTGTTTGAAAAATAAAAAAGATGCGTCTCGTACTTGTGAAATTGGGTACCTTCAACGATGATCTCATATTCATACGGTCCCACTCGATTATCATGGTTAATGCAGCCTTATATGAACCTTCAGTGCAACTGAATGTCGGAATTTCTTTTTTGGAAGGTGTGGTTCTTATTGAATTCGTTGTGAATTTGTTCGAAAAATAATTCTTTCACCTCCACTATCCCAATATTTTCCGCATTTTACTTCCGATTGCTGATAGCTTTTGTCTACTATCTTGAAGGGAAATTTTTCATGCACTCTTTCTCAGCAAAACCAAGTTTTGATCGCCTCCACATTAATCTATTATTTCACAAGCAAAAATTAAGATTCAAAAACGTAGTTGTATTTTTTAAATTATCTGAATTTGAGCCGCGATATTATAGTTCTTGAGAAACTGATTTGTAGGAAACGTAGCTGAATTTTCGTTTAATAGTTGAATTTCCATCTTAGAACTTACCATTATATTATTTAAGTTCCTATGAATTTCCATAGGAGTGAGTTTAACGCATTATTGCAAAAGCGAACTAATCCTTAGAAAGATATTGCTAATTATCAGAAAATAGAATTACCGTATGCTGAATATGTGTTTGGTACTGTGAATCAGTGTTAGAGAATCCTTCGTATAGTACAATATCTTTGTTTCTCGACAAACTATTAATGACATGGCTTGAATCATTCGTTTGTGGGAACACTTCTATTCACATAGAAATTGCACGGCATCTATCAATTGAATTCAAGAGTACTATTCTGCAGCGAAATGAAATCTTGTTTTCTGGGCGTAGGAATCCTTGCAGGTAACGGGGACGTTGTGATTTTGGGCCAACCTCGAACTTAGCAGTAAGCTGTTATAATTTGGATGGTTGTGCAAAAAATCAGAAATTATTCGAGTGTGTCACTAATTGTGGCTGTCCAAATCTGCGTCTAAAGTCGCTCGGATGCCGGCGCTGTGCTGCGCCGTTTCAGCAAGCTGCTAGCGCCGTGTCTTAACAGATGCTCACCGCTTGTTGATCAATCGACCGTGCTGGCACAGCTCCAACACGGCGCTGGCACGGGCACATTTGAACACCCGAAGGTGGAGCAAGCCTTGAACTGTGCTTTTTGCGTTTACAGAACTTCTGACGACACACAAATCAGAATTTCCCGCAGAATGAGCAGCAACTTTTGGAACATAGTTTCAGATCCAACACGTCCAGAATATCAACAGTGCTTTTTTTATGTATGCAGTCACAGATCAAAGGGGAAATCTTAGAATCGTCGACGACATTGATTAGTTCACATTGAAAACTTATCAGTTGCTTAGCACCTTCAGTCTCGTTATCATCTTTTAATCACAGCACAAAAAAGAGACCATGTAAACCTCGGAGGCTTTTTCTTTCACAACCGAATATTTATATTTATTTAGATTTTATGAGACAAGAACTATCAAAACTTCAGTGATTTTGAATACAGTTTCAGTGAATTTTGAATACTTTAATTGTTCCGGCCATGATCTACCAATATTTTTCCGATAATGTTTTCACTCTGAAAGAATCATATCGAATGATTATGAGATCCAACAAATTCTCTTCGCAGTTTCAAACAGTTTTGGTTTGAGCTGCAACATGAACAAACCACGCGCTTGAACCAACGTGAAGCAGCTTTTTCCTTGTTTCTGTTTTTCCACAAACTTCTTCGGTTTCTTAACGAAAATTTCTCGAAGTTAGACCCTTTATGTGTTTTCTTTTCAAACGTTGCTATATGTTCACTCAAACTTTAAGAACAGAGAAAATTACCACCTCACTCTCAATCACAGTATGGTGGTGCTTCTAGAACATCTTTTGTTTTGGTCACTACCACACTCGTTTTGCAGTAATTCAAACAAAATTAGGAATAGTGAAATAATGAAAAATGAAGATCATAGTTTGAGCTTTCATCTATGTGTGTAATCTTAGTTGATCGAGTGTTCCCAAACCTCTTAAAAATAGCTAAAATGACAAAATAGATGACCATAAAGAAATTTCGGCAACCACGTGCTCCAAGCACTTGATTCGAAGGGCGCATCAAGTGAAAAGAGATAAAAGACCTACATTGTGTTGTCTAAACTGTTGATCAGGCCATTGTCTTTGAGGAGGGTGACCGGTTTGTGGAAACGAAGAACCATGGATAATCCAAAAGCAGAGAGAGAGGCCAGGTCCTTTTTTTCAGGTCCAAGAAACTAAACCGTACGGCGCTTTAGATTAGAACAAGTATTTGAGAGTGACTCTGAGATGTCATAGGTTGGCACTAATCCGTGAAGTATTTTTAAAAATGAAAGGTATCTTGTTTTTCTCTAAAAAAGACCCGCAGGTTGGAAAGGAACAGTGGAAACACAGAGCACCAGAATTTTTTCAGTGTTTTCATCTTCCGTTAAATGGCCTGGATAGAGTGCTCAAAATTTTCAGGGCTGATGGAGATGTCTACACACGACGTACATCCACTCAGAGCGCTCAGCAAGAAGCCGCAGGACCCAGCCGAGGGCAGGAAGTCGTCACCAACGGCAGTCGGCCTAGGCACGAGGAAGTGGCGTCGACCTCGCACAGGAGCCGAAACTCCAGCCAACCTCCTATGCGCAATAGTCGCGAGTGAGTAAATACACTGCAAACATCCTCCTCGTAAGGAAATAGTTACCAATCCGTGCTAAAAGTAGTTCTAGGTCCCGCAGCAAGGCTGCGAGTTCTTGCGTTGCCTTCAGCTATAAGTTTATCCAGAGCAATTTTGTTGTTTTCTACAACTGAAGACAAAGAATTATTTGCGTTACGAACTACCTTTGGATCTTTTAAAGAACACAAACTAAGTAAGGAAAGGCTTGGCGACCGAGGCCTTAGGATTTATGCTTATATAAAAGGCCCCCACAAGGAAAGCTTCTTTAGTCGAAGTGGTTTTCTAATTGAGATGTATAGCATATTAAAGGCCATATAACGTTGATCTCAAAACTGCCTTTCTTATCTGGAAAACGCTTATGGACCAGCAGTTATGAGCATGTCTGGGAGCCAAAATTGAATGTGCATTTTGGATAGAGTGAGTTGCTAAAATCTTACTAGTAAAATAATGCAACCAAGTTTATTATATTTTTTATTTTAGAATATTTTTTTGTCCTAGCTGCATCAATTTTTTGCTTCAACAAGCGCTCATAACTCCTCGTCCATAAATGTACTGCAGATAAGCAAGGCAGATTTGGGATCAGCACTTTATGCCCTTCGGTATGGTATACATCTCATCTAAAAAGGTCACTTCAACTAAACATGCATTCCTTATCAGAAAATTTGTCAAACGTTTAATTGTTAACGCTTACTTTTAGTAAAGCGAAAAGCGCAATAACACATCCATGATATCGTGAGTCTTGCCAACTTATTAAAAAAGTTTCAGCTCTTTCGGATAGTTTTGTAGGCTATGTGTTATTTTTGGTGCAAAGCTTCTTCATATGTTCTTACCGTATCCTTGCTGTAATGAAGAGAAATTGGCCTCCCTTTCTCTCTTGTAAATTTGGGTTGAAGCTTGCCCACATTGTTAAATTCCATAAATCCGACAAAAGATATCCGGATAAGAAAAGTATTAGCAAAAAAAAAACGATTGATACATTTCTAGGACATTTAGGACCCCTGGACATGGCTTCTCAGAAATAGCCGTTCCAGACGCTAATTTAAAAAATAACAAAGAGAGGAGACTTGAGACTTCGCTAAGTTGTTTCAACTTCTACCAGGTCCTTTTTTAGGACATGCCTTTTTATTGCAAAAGCTACAATCTCTCTTGGCAAGTCCTTGAAATATCTTTGCACTCGATTCGGATAACGCTCAGTCATTTGCTAGGTAATCCGCTGCATATTCTTATCTCTCGCTAACTTTAAGCAAGCTTCTGTGTTTGTAAACGATTTTGATAAATCCAAGGAGCGTTCGAACGGGCGAACGCAAAGATTTTTTGACTTCATTAGGTTGCTGTCTTACTAAACATTGTTTTTTCTGGCCATGAAGAAATAATAACGAACAAAGAAAGTTTCACAACTACTAATTACGAGTTCTTTTTCTCATTTTACTGTATCAGTACTCGGAAACATGATTTTTCTCCGTGCTGAACGTTTTAAACAGCACGACATCAAATCGCTTGTTGTAAGCGTCCCACACATTTGTCAAGAAGCTGTTATAAAAAAAATTTTCGCGATACTTTCGTCTCATTATTTTATGTGCCATTCAGATTATAGTGTCAACGTACTGAGAAAGCTCTATATAAAATGCTCTAACCTTTAGTAAGCAGGTTATTACTTTTGTGAGCATAAACCGCTTCAGTCACTTCGTACCACCTTCTAATCGCATCTCTGTTGGTGAATGATTGATGGTCATAACTCCTTGAGGGTATTTAAGCAGTCTATCCTCAAACCTGAAAAAAATCACCACCCGCAAACACGAAAGCAACACTCGTGAGACTCGTTTTCCTACTGATTTAACGGAAATCAAAATCAAGAATCTTTTTTGTGCGTCGACGGAGTCGCTCATCTTACTTAGTCAGAGCAGAAAAAGCGGCTAAGCACGAAATCAAACGCGATAAGGAAGTTTTTCACTTTTCGCTTTTCGTTGTAAAGTTTGGATGCTTGCACAGCTGCCTGGCTTCCAAACGTCACTGCTTTGGCCCATGTTATGAAACTATCTCCTCTCCCTCAATGTATTCCTTCACTACCTCCGTCTCTGTTGACGCACACATCGTTCGCAACAGCACTATTCATGGCCGATCCACTACTAGACATATTGTCCTTATTGAGATGTCAAGGTAAACTAAAGCTGCAAGTGAGCATTTGCCAGCTTTCGTCATATTTTGTTTTGCATTATTGGTGGTTCAAAAATTTAAAAGATCTTTTCAAGAAGGAATCCCACGACATTCTCAGTGCTTATGCAAGTGTCCTTCTTTTCAAAACAGTTGATAATTTCTCATTCAACCAAATTGAAACTGTAATGTTTATAGCTTTTACAGTTTATAAATTGATTTTTTTTTAAAATAAAAAGTTGTGTAGGATGTTTCAAAGATTTTTTCAGTGGTGAAATTGATAATTTTCGAGAAATAGGGAGTTCACTTTTCTGGTTGTCTCTTGAATGTTGGAACTATATAATCACTTATGTGGGAGAGGCCCAAAGCCGACAGGGGCGACGTCTGCCATTTATTGCCTATTATTTTCTTTTAATTTCTTTTTTGATTTTTTTTGCCGTAAAATCAAGCAAGCTGAGAGAACACGAGTTTTCCGAGTTGGAGAAAAATTATGACGGTAATATGTAGCCTAAATTGATGATGGGACTTCAGTTACTCAATGGTAGAGGTATGGTAAGCTCTACAAATTTTTCTTGAACATTCGCTTGAAGTTTGACTCACGTGAAGTTAAGGCATTATAAGCTTGTCGTAAATTCATAGTTGGATCAAAAGAAACTGATGAGGATGAAAAACCTTAATAGTGCTGGAATCATTCGGTCGATTCCTAACGAAGAACACTGTTGAATTTCTTAATCAAAGATATTCGCATCATGTCGTCTTTGGCGTTAGTTTTGTGAAGTTTCAGAAATTATGCCCAAATACAGGGTGTCCCAAAAGTAAGCACACACTTTTCAATCGTCAATATCTCTCTTCCCATTGGATCTTTTTCCGCCATTTGAGTACCAATCTGTAGAAGAGGCTTCAGCTCAGATTTGCAGTATTAAGCGAGTCACCTATCGCTCTTCATTACTGTAGGATTACTGTAGGAACTTTGATAAGGATTTTAGGCCATTGGAAGCCATATTCTGCTTCGGAACAAAACAAACAAGCCAAAAAACTCTTACACTATGGTAATTGAAGCCGCTGATTTCGAATATGAAATGTTCACTTTACTATGATGCTTCTTTCCAAGGTTATCCCAGGTAAACCGTAATAACCGAATTTCCAGTATTTGTCAGAAATGCAATTACACCGTGAAAAAAGCTGAAAACACTCGTTAAAAGTTGCTTAGTGGAATCGGCGTGGGAGAAAACTCCAGTACAAGATATTTCAGATTTTTTGAAAAAAATTTGTGAGATGGCATCTTTTACAGTGCTTCCACTGCTGGAACTTCTTACTGTAATCCTACAGTAACGAAGAGCGATCGGTGATTCGATCGATGCTGTAATTCTAAGTTGAAGCCTCCTCTACAGAATGATGCTTAAATGGCGAAAAAAAGATCCATTGGGAAGAGAGATATTGACGATTGAAAAGTGTGTACTTACTTTTGGGACACCCTGTATGTGAAAGATGCACCTCATTTTTGCTAATTTTTGTGGATATTGTGCAATGGCACGCTTTAGCAATGAAAGGCTATTATTAAGAGTGTTTTTCTCGACATTTACAGCTGCACTAAGAAAAAAGAAACAATTGTGATCAATAACTGTATTGCTGCCCAGGAAATGGGCATGAATTTATGCCCCAGATTTGTACTCATGATTGATTTTCTGTTTTAGATATGGTAATCACTTCAGGAGTGACTATTTGAGAGAAATGCTGTTTGCAGGCACTCCTCTAGCACAAGATATGAACGAAGTCTCACGTACCGGTATCGTTCCGAGACTCGCATGGACGCGGCAGAGCTCGAAAAGAGAGAGCAGCTTGAGCAGTGGCTGATGCAGCAGCCACTGGAGAAGAGGAAATTGGACCAAAGCGATCGGCAGGTCGCAATGTTAGCAGGTACGAATAAGAATTATTTTTTGCCTTATAAAAAGTCGACTATCGCTGTCTGTAATGCAACGTCTCGTTTTTATGTCGACATTTTCCTCTCCATGGCAACCAAAATATAACCTGAAAGCAGAATTTATCCTCTTTTTTTCGATATGGAACTCGTTCTATCGTAAAATTTGTTTCCACTTTGCTACGTACGTAGCGCGAAGTCGCCCACCGTTGCTGGTTAGGGCATCCTGCTTCTGGTTTTTTAAGGCTTTATATGCGCTACCTACGCTACCAATCAGAAAATAACTTTTCTATAACTTCATTAACAACGTAGAAGAATTCTGTCTCATTCTAAGAATTAGTATGAAATAATTAATAAAAAAAAGTGAAATCCTCAAACAAAGTATAGATAATTATCATCGAATCCCCATGGAACTTCTCAAGAAAAGCGAGACTGGAACTGCCAACTTTCCTTTAACTAAATCTGCTTACAGCATTTGTTGATTTCTTACAAGATTTTTTTGTGCATGCTGCGTACTTATATTTATTTTTAGACGTAATGACACCCTTTTTACCTAATCATTTTCTCATGATTGTTGAGCAAATAATCGGGTTGCTAAAGCAATTCACGAGTTCTGCCAAAAGATGAGAATTTAATTTGGTATTAGTTTTACAAAACCTCTCCCTGCCCATATGCTTCAATTTCGATTGTACGCAAATCGCATTGGATTAGACGAGTTTTTGCAGTTTTGTCGAATCGAGTTACAATAGACTTACAGAGCTCCAATTTTCTAACCTTCGTGGCTTATCAGAAAAAAGTCTCGTCACGTAAGTCAGAAAGAGAGAACAGCTTTGTCATCTCACTTTCAGCAGTTTCTTTGTCATAACTCTTACTTTCATTTTACAAGCTTGTAACTTTTGATAGAATCATTTCTAATGAACCACTGAGCAAGCAGTTTGCATAGTTATACCTTGAATGACTCCGCTGTAATTGAATATGTTTTATTGTTGAGACAGCCTTGAGACTGCTGCAACAAAGCCGCTAGGAATTCATTAAATTCCGTTACCAACCATCCGTGAGTGGTCAAGAAATCGTGAAATCGCCTGGCTTTAAATGTAATGTGCGCAATGAAAAAGCTCGAGAAAAAAATTCGTGTCTAATGTCCACGCCCCGAAGTGTGCGAATATGACAGCCATGCTTTACCAGTATTCAAGGAGTAAACATTTTTTCTGTCCTGATCTTGGATTGGTCTTTGATGGCTGATCATGTTTACAATTGGTGAATTCAAGAACAAAACGTTATCGCTTCTGCTAGCGATAATTTATGAGCGCTAAGTCTAAAGATTAACATGGAATTCAGTTCTGCCTCTATTGCAGCTCTCTAATTAGTAACTTGCAAAATTCCCATAACTCTTCGTGTGGAATTGAGATTGGTTTCTCTTAACCATTGTCTATTAGAAAATCTCAAACTCGTGTACGTCTGAAGGCATCACACAGCCGGAAATGCAAAATCCGTACATCTTCAAAGCAGGGCTCGGCACAGGTAACTTACAACCAAGCTGGATATCGTTTTTGGGACAAAAAGCGAGGGGGGGGGGTTCGTTTTTGTGGCCGAAAAGACACAAAATGCGACGTTTTTTTAGTCGACGTTTCGTTTTTTGGAGATTTTTTTAGAGATTATGGTCTAGAGTAAGGGAACTTCGTAAAAATTCGCAAAGTCAAGGGGGACTTTGTTTTTTTTTTGCATTTTCATCTAGCCACCTCGTGACGAGCCGTGCTTCAAAGAGAATTCAAAATGGTGGTAACATGCCCTTCTTCTACACTCTTTTGTCGCTCTTTTCTAATGTATTATTGGAAATAGCTTACTCATTCACACCCCCAAAATGACAGCTGAATCAGGATGCATTCATAGGTAAACAGTGCAAGGCCAGTAGATGAAAGGCATCATTTCAGCTATGTCTTCTTTTGCTTTGGAATTGTTTCTATCAACTAAAGACCAATTCACCGAATTTAGATTCGTGGCAGTGCGCTATTCGTTGATGGGGTCATTTTCACAAACTGAAAAAAGCTCTGTTTGCATTTAATTCTCCTAAACTACTTCCATTTTTAAAGGCGTTCATTGTAAGCCATCATCTGGCGTCAATATAAATTAATAGTCAAATAATTATCAATATAAATTAATAGTTCTTTGCCGAACTCAAAAATGCTCCATTTTTTTCTTTGAGACGGGTGGTAAACTCTGACGTCGATCTTCGATGTTAAGCATAAGGCTAGTTTTTAGTTTAGTTCGTATTTTTTTTTCAATTTGTAATTAGGAGGCACCCTGAACATTATAAGAGTAGTCATTGAACACCCAATAAATTGTCTAATTCTCAAGAAGAAAGAATTTTTTGGTTTGCTAAATGAAGTTCACTTATGAAAAAAGATTGATAGTGAGCCAACATAGAAATATTCTGATTTTACATCGAATAAATGCCTAAGAGCTGGTCCTTGGCAAGAATATTGAGATAAGATAGCAACTGGGGTATACGCCTCGAACTTAGCCTAGGGGTTTCCATCTTACTGTTTTTTTATCTAATACTTGATCTAGAAACTCATTTAAACATTGCATTACATAAAAATGTGTCAAGTGCTACTCGAGCACGAAAACCTTGTATCGAGGTCTACCATATGGCGGAAGTAATATTGTGGCGTAGGTTTTTCTGGAATCGTTCGACCTTATGGGCGTGATCTGCTTCATTTTGTCCGTTTTCCACGGAAAATTTCGAAAACAAACTGCTTAGGGGTATGATTCGGTCTAAGTGTCGTCCGCCTCATTTAGCCCTAAATAATCATGTCTCTTTGTCGTAAACCGCTGTGGACTCGCGCAGCTTCGCACTTGATGCTTGAACGTCGACTGGGCGGTCCAGTGAACAACAAGGGCAAATACTAACGTTGAGTGCTTGACTTCCATCGCTGTTCTCGACGATTTGTCGTGTACATGATTTATCTTCTGCTTTACCTTTAGGTTGGCTCGAAAGTTCTCGACATTTTCAGACTAAATTTGTTATTTCTCGGAACCTAATCCATGACATCCTCGAAAATTTGCAGCTGTACTCACTCCTGCCTGTAGCTGATCTTCACGCAAATGGGAGCAACCTAGGGCCAATAGGGCGGAGTTCACCACTTTTCATTTAGCTCGTTTTTCCTTTGTTCTGTGAGTCAATTTCTGTGCAAACTGTGCATGTAAGTATGGATATTTATGTATGCTATAAATTGGAGCATGCGGGGGATCCATAACGTTCATGGAAGTGGAAGATCTGTGTCAAGTCCAAATCCTATGCGTTAGAGTATTTACCTGAATTTTCAGATGAATTAATAATGATGCTTCTTACAATTTTGTAGAGATTGCTTTTCTCTGTCCAGCAGTGGCAGCATGCCCCAATCGGTGCCTACATCAAAACGAAAGAACTTTCGAGCCAACCTAATATGTACATCGGTACACTTTTCTTTTGTTTCGCTCTACAACATTCCATTCATCGGTCGTCATCGCTGAGCACCATTCAAATGGTGCTCAGGGATGACGACCAAGAATCTTTTGTTTTAGGCATTATTCTTCTTTTAGACGGGCACAATTGTTCTACCTAAAAACAAACATTCCTATCTGCTAGGTTTTTCTGATGTCTGCATCACCCGAAATAGCTATAGCTGCTTTCCGAATTTGCACGAGATCCTTGTAAACCACACCTAGCTGACTAAAATCGTGACTAATTCGCCAATCCCTCTCATCTTTACGGCAAGAACTCCAAACAGTGAGCTGCGTAGGAGCTTTTATACGCTTGTAAATCACGACGCTTTTCTCCTTTACCTGACGACAATAGATACTTGAATTTATTGATGATTGGTTCGGTCTACATTTAATGCAGCTTTTTGTTGCCCTCCATTAGCTATGTTTCGAAACCAACTTTTTGTGAACTTTACTCATCATTGCCTTTTTCATTTTCCGCTACTTTTCCAGATGTATGTCTCACACTTTTTTACGAGGTAAAATCCCACAGATTATGTATTTTAGAATGGCCTCTCTGGAATATTGCAGATTTGTTACAATGCTTTGAGACCTTAATCGGATAAATTGCTGCGAAAACTCAAAAACGGCTCGCTTCAAAAATAGAGTCACGAATTACTATGCATACGTTCTTTCTCCAATCAAAAACCCGGGTTCTTTTCTGTTGGAGGATTTTCAAAAACCGATATAGTATACTTTGTGAAAGGTGATATTCAAAAGTTTCCCTCTACTTCTACTCCTATACATCCTGGTTTGTAGCACAGACCTCGAAGAAATTGGAGCAGAGAAAAAACCAAACCTTAGGAGGTTCAAAAAGTATGGAAGTGCTTTCAGCAAACTCTTTCGCTGAATTAGTTCCAGGCATACGTGAGATAGTGCTGAAGCAAATAAGAGCTTTCATCAGATTCAGGTGAAATTTTTCCGAAGTTGCTGCAGATTGAGAAATTATCCACAAGTTTTGGAATCAATAACGTGTCAGAATCATTTCTTTATTTCTATGCTGCTAGAAAAGGTTTGCTCGAACCTGTTTTAAACAAAAGTATAACGATGCAAGATGGATGAAAAAAATCTTCGCAACCCGGGACAGCGCCATAAATTCGGGTATTTCTTCACTTCACATCAGCTAGAGGAATTACTCACTCGTTCTTTGTATGATTTCTTGAATTTCCTACAGCGCGACTGCGCAACTCTATATAATTAGGGTGGTTCTTCTAACAAGGGAAGGACCCTCGGTCGAAGTGGGGTTCTCACATTTGATGCATATCATGCTCGTCTTGGGGCACTACTACCAAATCCGTGTTCCTTAGCTGCTCAACGATCTTCTGGGTAAAAATATAAGCGGTGGTTTCCCCAGAAGACCACAAATCGCTTAAGTTAGCGGCGCCAAGAAATGTCAGTCGTGGATGGATGGCCGAGTGGATAACTGTGGAGACTATGGAGTAATTGGGAAAGTTCGTACTTATGTTCCAAACATTTTGCATTTTTGCAAATTATTCATCCCAAAACCAGCACAATGATATGCATCACGTGTGGGGAGGTTCCCTTGTAAGAATATTGAATGAAAAGCCCAATATTCTCAAAGATCGC